AAAAAAGTTCCTAGGCCTTGGAAATTAAGCAGTCACCTTTTTTTTAAATCCTCTATCCACAAATACTACTTGGATGCCACGTGAATGTATAAAACATTTCTGAATACAGAATTCTATTTGGAAGAAGATCTAATATATACATAAGAAATTTAAATTAAAGTCAGATTTTTACCCAGGAGAAAAAAGAAGCTATCAATCACTTTAGAAAATACTGAGCAAATACTAAGTGTCCAGAACTAGTATTTCTCACAGAATAGAAACCTGGCCATATAGAAGTATTTGAATTTTTACTGTCCTCTAGTTCTGCTGAGTCTCAGAAATAGAGACAAACAAATAGCCAGGGCTGAGGCACAGAACAACAACAAACCAAAAAGGCTGCTGGATAAAAGAGAGATGTTGACATACTCCACAGCTACAAAACAGAGCTTCAATGCCTCCAATGTGAATTTCTAAATCCTACTCTACTGGAAGCTTTTGTCTCCCTCTTTGCATAGCGTCCAAGATTTCAAGGGAAAAAGGACAATCCTGAAGAAAACAAAACAAGCAACATTTTGAGACTGAAGATGTAAGGCAAGTTTTTTTTTTATTTAGTTCTTTAAGAAACAGTGTCTTGGCCAGGTGCGGTGGCTCACACCTGTAATCTCAGGACTTTGGGAGGCCCAGGTGGAAGGATCAGTTGAGCCCAGGAATTTGAGACAAGCCTGGGCAACAAAGTAAGACCCTGTTCTCTACAAAAAGTTAAAAATTAGCCGTGTGTGGTGGCATGTGCCCTTAGTCCTAGCTATTCAGAGGCTGACACAGGAGGATCACTTGAGCCCAGGCATTGGAGGCTGCAGTGAGCTATGATCGTGCCACCTGGGTTAGAGAGCGAGACCCCATTTCAAAAAAAAAAAAAAGAGAGAGATGGGCTTAGTTTTTGAAACATACAAATGGTTGCAACATTTTCTGGCTTCAGCATTTAGGTGCATGTTACACATATGGCTAAGGAATGTCAGCAGTTGTGAAATTCAGGCTTCGAATTTGCTTTTCCCTAATTTGGAATTCCCCATAGGGAGATTCATCTAAATTTATAGAGGTTTTCAAGCTGCCTTGTTTATGAAACCTACCTACTAGATCCATGCCCCCAAAATAATTGCTGGATTACAGATTGGTAGGAAATGATCCTGGTAGATAGGGTTTATAGAACTCACCCTGAACAAAATTCATTACCATACTTTGAATTACTTATTTTAGTAATATTTTATGAGAACCTAGAAGTGCACAACATACAGAATGAAGGACTAAAATGTAAGGCTGTATCAAACTTAATCCACCTACACTTACCCTCACCTACCAGAGTTAGCTTATTTTTTGATTGCTCACCCATAATCTCTAGGAATTCCCTTTAGTATGAATCAACTTTTAGGACTCTATAATATACTGATATAGCCTTGGAAAAGAAAGATCATTACCTCCCTTACTATATCCTTAGCATATTGCTTTTTCTATAATTCTTAGCAGCTAAAGATCACTACTTCATCTATTACTTTCCCTGACTGTTCAGGACAATGCAAGTGCACTTTACCTAAAAAAGGGAGTAACTCAGATTGGTTTGACTGTTGACATCACTTGGTTTGAACAGAACATTAGAGATGCAGGCAGTTCCCTTTTATTTTGGATTACTGCTGTTAGGACCTTCCCTATTGCTACCCTTCGTTCCTTCTGTACTGATATAGTCCCTATGCTTTTATTCCTACATAGGGATGATTATGGCCAATTTCCATTTACTTACCACTATTCTATAGAGTAGCAAGGCTAGAATATGAAGACTTATATCTAAAAAACCTACGAGAATATTTATACACTCCTGATACCCAGGTGCTTTAGCCTCTCAATCTTTCTTTTTTTTTTTTTTTTGAGACAGAGTCTGGCTCTGTTGCCCGGGCTACAGTGCCGTGGCATCAGCCTAGCTCACAGCAACCTCAAACTCCTGGGCTCAAGCGATCCTCCTGCCTCAGCCTCCCAAGTAGC